GGCGATGATCGGTTCGCCGCCGCAGGGCCAGCAGCAGCAGCCGCAGTTGATCACCCAGCCGACGGTCATTTCCGCTGGCAATGGCGGCGGCGGTGGCAACAACAACAACAACAACAATGGCGGCTCTGCCAACGGCAAGCAGAGCAGCCAAGCGGCCAAGCAGAAGGCGGCCAAGAAGGCCAAACTGATCGAGGGCAGTCCGGACAATGGCTTGGATGCCACGGGCAGTCTGCGGCGCAAGGCCAGTTCAAAAAGACGAGTGCGGCCTCAAAAAAGGCCGCCACCCTGAATGGCCTCAATCCCGGCCAGCTGGTGCAGCAGGGAGTGCCGTCAGCGGCGGCGGCGGCGGCTGTTGCCCAACAGGCGGCGGCGGCACAGGCGGCAGCGGCGGCGGCACAGGCGGCACAAGCGGCTGCCGTGGCGGCCATGTCACACGAACTGGAGGGATCGCCAGTGGGCGTGGGCGGCATGGGCGGCAACATGCCCAGTCCGTACGACACCAGCTCCATGTACTCGAACGCGATGGCCGCACCGCTGGCGAACGGCAATCCGAACACGGGCGCCAAACAGCCGCCGAGCTATGAGGATTGCATCAAGGTGAGTTCAACGCGAATTCTTAAGCATCACTTGTGCGACTGAAGAAGATTAAAAAGTGCGAATTATGGAAAGCACTGTTTAAAGTAAAAGACAAGCATCACATTGCCAGAAATTGTCATAGCAGAAAGTGTAAAAAAAAACGCGAATTCTTAAGCATCACTTGTTCTAACAACGTGAATTCTTAAGCATCACTACTAATTACTACATTTTTCCAGTCAATAAACACATTTTTTGCTTTTAATATTTTCTTTTTTTTAAATCCAATTGCGAATTCTTAAGCCCTACTCGTACTTACATTTCTTAAAGTATAAAGCAAAGATTAAGAAGAATTCTTAAGCATCTCTCTAAGTAGCATTAATTTAAAAGTGATTTTGGTTCATGATACATAAATCATGAAGAGAAGTTTTTTATGTACATTAGTTGTGCAATTAAAAAACACTTTTTATTATTATTATTTGATTGCATTAAAAACAGTTTGTAAGATGCTAATAATTTCTCCGCTATTTGTTCCCAGAATGCGCAATCACTGCAATCGCTGCAGGGCAACGGTCTGGACATGATCAAGCTGGACAACTATGGCTACTCGATGGGCTCGCCCTTTCAGCAGGAGCCGCTCAATGGCCAAGGACTCGGGATGAATGGCAATGGCCAGCGGAACGGAGTCGTCGCCGGCGTCCTGCCCGGCGGACTGTGCGGCCTGGGCGGACTGACCGGTACCGGAAACGGAAACGGAAATAGCCACGAGCAGGGACTGAGTCCGCCGTACTCGAACCAGTCGCCGCCGCACTCGGTGCAAAGCAGCCTGGCGCTTTCGCCCCACGCCTATTTGGGTAAGTTTCGACTCGAGTTCTCTTACTCATACTAAATACAATACATTACAATAATCTACATAATTTAATGAATTAATTAAACTAACTAAAACTTTTATTGCTCAACACCCAATTTGAGTTTTCATTTTCACTTCGATTTTTAATAATCATGAATGTAATTTGATTTTGAGTTTTATTAAACTTGATAAAAATATAACTAGTTAGCAAAAATGTATAAACTATAACATATCATTTTATTAGAGCTTTCATTATCACTATGTTTATAAATAAATATGAGTGTGATTTTATGTGAGATTAAAAAAAAAATCTTTTTGGTAATACAAACTAATTAATTTATAAACTTATTTAATAATTATTTAGTTATTTAATTGGCATTAACAATATTTAATTAGATGTCAAAGCAATGATATTTTACGTCTTTAAAATAAAAGTTATATGAGATTAAACTATTGATTTAAAGTGATTATCAATTCTATTTGATAGTAGGTATTACCCTTTTGGTTTGTTGGTAAAGCAATGATATTTTATGATTTTAAACATGTTTTGTATGAGATCCTCCTATCCATATTTTATGTGTAATGATGACCATATGGTGTGCTTACTAATCGATCTCGTTTCTTCCGTTCCAGGTTCACCATCGCCGGCCAAGTCGCGACCCAGTCTGCCCACCTCGCCCACCCACATCCAGGCGATGAGGCATGCCACCCAGCAGAAGCAGTTCGGTGGCAGCAATCTCAACAGCCTGCTGGGCGGGGCCAACGGTGGGGGCGTGGTCGGAGGCGGCGGAGGAGGAGGCGGCGGCCTGGGGCCCCAAAACTCACCGGTGAGCTTGGGCATCATCTCGCCAACGGGCAGCGACATGGGCATCATGCTCGCCCCGCCGCAATCCTCGAAGAGTAGTGCAATAATGCAGACGATGTCCCCCCAGCAACAGCAGCAGCAACAGCAGCAGCAACAGCAGCAACAGCAGCAGCAGCAGCATCAGCAACAGCAGCAACAGCAGCAGCAACATCAGCAGCAGCAACAGCAACTCGGAGGACTGGAGTTCGGTTCAGCGGGCTTGGACCTGAATGGATTTTGTGGATCTCCGGGTAGGTTCACTCACAAACTAACGCAATGTCCGATTTTGGACGAACCATAGCCTAAACATGCTTAGATCAACACTATTTCTTGTATAAATTTTGGTTTTAAGATTTTAATCGTCACGGATTTTCATGGCAGGTCCATTTTCAGTGTGCAATTTGCCAACTTTCTTATTTGTTTCTACTTTCAAAATTATTTATTATTATTTATAGAAATTTTTTGATTTATTTTTGATTTATTCATCTTGGCAGTAAAAAATTAGGAATGGGTTTTGTTATAAGGGTATAAAATATTGCATCCTCAGTTTAAAATAATTAAAATATTGTATTATTTTGCTTAATGTGGCTAGCTGAAAGGGAAAAAAACGTATTTTTTTAATTTTAATTTTTTTGTATTAGGTTTAAGGTTGAAAACATAAGACTTTTGGGCTGCAATGCCTTTCAAACAACAAAGAAACTAATCAATTTTGTGTGCTCCACTTTGCAGACTCATTTCACTCGGGTCAAATGAATCCGCCCTCGATACAAAGTTCGATGTCCGGCTCGTCGCCATCGACCAACATGCTGTCGCCGTCGTCGCAGCACAACCAACAGGCCTTCTACCAGTACCTAACGCCCCCGAGCCAGCATTCCGGCGGCCATACGCCGCAGCACCTGGTCCAGACGCTGGACAGCTACCCGACGCCCTCGCCGGAGTCGCCCGGCCACTGGTCCTCCTCCTCGCCGCGATCCAACTCTGATTGGAGCGAGGGCGTCCAGTCGCCGGCGGCCAATAATCTCTACATTTCCGGTGGCCATCAGGCCAACAAGGGATCCGAGGCCATCTACATTTGACCATAAGCTGGACAGCTGGACAAGACGGATATGGATATGGATACGGATATGGATCTAGATCTGGATGTGGATGTGGATGTGGATGGGATTGAAATCGAAAGCAAAGTCGATTGCCAAGGATGACAGCAGAGGGACTCTTAAAGAGTCCGCGGCTACGTTCTATCTAAAATATGCTATATAAATGTAATTCTCTAATCTCTACGAATATGTATTTTTCACGCGACTTTTTTTTTTTTTTATTTGAGTATGTGTGTGTCTATAAGTTTTAGATTTTAGATCGAAATGCGCAATTCTAGCGGAAGAAGCGTCATAAATTGTAGGAACTTAAATTATTTTAATGCTTGTTGTACAGTGCGTGCCGATCGCATATATATATATATATATATATATATATATATATATATATATAAATATATACTATATATATAGAGGTATCTACTCATAGATATACCAGTTAAGAGCTCGTTTTGTGGCGCATCTTATCTTATTGTCGTAACGTCATCGTAGCTTCCAGTAAACGAAAAAAAAATAATAATAAAAACATAAAATAATAACCAGAGAGAGAGAGAGAGGAGAAACTAAACTTAGCGCAAATTCTGATTGATCGATTAAACGTTGGTGGGACATTTGTAGTTGTAAGCGACCATTATATCACTAGGCCCTAAGTCTAGGCTAAGTTTTTATCGAATTCTACATTTAATTATGGCCCACAGCTATATAAATATATATATTTCGTAGTTTTGTAGGTTTCGAAACTGAAGTGCTTATATAAACAAAATTGTTAGACGTACACCGCATCAAAACCTTTTTTTTTACACCAACTTTTTTTTTTATTATTATTATTACGACTATTATGTATTATTACATATTGACTAAGCTAAACTGTAAAAAGATTCTCATAACTGTTTGATTTAAGATGACAAAACAAAAGGAATTGCAAAAGTTATACAAAAAATCACCAACGAGAACGTATAATGCTAATACATAAAAAAAAAAAAAACAAAAACAAAAACGAACAAAAAAAACAAGAAAAAAGACAGTAACCAGCCAAGTTTTCTATATATATAAGGCCCCCCTTATAAGCTTAGTTGATTATTAGATATTTTCAAAAAATATACAGCAGAAAAAGACACTAGATGACCACAAATACGATTTTTTTGTTCGAATTGCCCTATTTTTAATTTGAACTGTAATGCTTTCGTCTATCGTCTATATTTTGTGTAAGTTTTTAATGTGTAAATTGTAAAATTATTTGTTTTCCTAACTTAAACAGCAAGACAGCAAAACGTAAATGCAACCTTTTTGACATAAATAATAAATATTAAATAATTATTTTAAAAACGACGTGTTTTAATTATTTTGTGGGGGAGCGAAAAACCCTTGTGAGTTAAATTTACAATTCATAAAGGAAAAAAATATGAACAATTTTGTAAAAAAATTGACCGCAACTTCAGACAGAAAGTGTCTATGTTTATATGCATACCTACCGCGAATTCTTCAGCATTAATGTACTGTTAATATTTTTTTGCAAATTCTTCATCTTTAATTTGATATCTTGAAATAATATTTTTTTAATATTTTTTCTTTAATTGTGACTAATGGAACTTGGTAAAATTAACCTTTAACCCCCACAACCAAACCATAGAAAAAAATCAGCTTTTTCGTGTGGTCAAAGGTGTACATTTAATTTAAGTTAATTTGTTGTCAAGGGATCTTGTTGCTCCCTTAAGGCCACACCCCCTAACCGACCGCCGCCCACCGCACATCGCATGATGACGTTACATTTTAGTTGTGTGGAGTGTGCGTTTTTCTTATCTTACAGACAAGCAAACAAAAAAAAAAGGACTACAGATTAGAATATAGTTTTTGGAAAATGTCGACTAGATTTCCTTTTTAGTTTCTTCCGTTTCCGGTAACGTTGTTGTACTCGTTGTGTGAGGATTTTCGGAATCCTTGGAATTTTCATCACCGTCAGCGGGGGATTTCTTGGCCCCCGGAACGAAGGGGCATACGCCGCCCTTGCACTCGAAGGGGAATTCGGGACCCTTCTTGATCACATTGCCCTCGGCATCCTTTTTCTGCCAGGGATTCCAGTAGCGCAGCAAAATCGGTTGAACGAATTTGTGCCAAATATAGAGCAGCAGTGGAATGATAAAACAGGGTACGCACACCATTGTTCTTTTGGTTTGTGGGAAAACCTGGTAGTTTGTGGTATTACTGGATTAATAGACTTTCTAGTCTTATATCTTACTTACTTGCTGGGGGAGTTATCTTCCAAAGGGGGGCTTTGTTTTCCTTTTATTTTTTAAGTCTTAATTAATTTTTGGTGCATAGTGTGACCAGGTTATATTTAAGATTTATACCTTAAATGAAGTACAAATAAACTCTTATATTCCAAATATACTAAATGCTAGTGAAGACCGAATCCTAACAGTCGTAGATTGCTTAGACTGTTTAACATAAATATTTAATATTTTAGCCAAATAAAACATATTTTTTAATATATTTTTGTATCAATCATTTATTGAATTTCCACAGTTTTAACCCAATAAAGGACACCGGTAGGGGTTTCCTCCGCGACAACAGTATTCCCTGCCCGCCTGCAGATTGGTATTAACCCATTGGTTGTGACAGTTTTTGATGAACAAATAGGCACGTTCCTTGTGACAATCGTGACCCAATGTGGAGCAAACAATATTTGCGGAATTCGGCAGATGTTGAACGATCTAAAATTGATAGGTAAGTTTATGTTAAGTGTTAATTGAGTATCGGAAAAAATTATATTACAACATGATCATGAATTACGATTAGAAAAATTTTTATCAGTTACATATTTTGATAGAGAAATTTTAAAAATAAATATATCATGATCCCACGTATCCCATTTTGATATCCAGTTAAATGTTTCAATTCTTTTACATTGTGTTTACTGTACAGTACTCACCGCCTCCAGACACTTAGTTTGACACTGTTTGCGACCGATGGCATTGCAGGGGAACATTTGATCCAATTCCTGGTGGATCAATGGCTTTGTCGGCAAGCCATTGGGAATTTGCGAGGAGAGGAAAACGCCGCAAGTGCAAGGAACTGGCTGATTATCCTGCTGGGGTATTACCGCTGATCCTGGCGTCGGTGGTGAGGGAATTGTGCTGGCCAAACTGCTCGATGTGGTGGTCGTCATCAGCGGTATTGGGGATGGTTCGGCCAATGTAGTAGAATTTTCTACTACCGTCTTAGTTGCGACATCTCCGACAATCGATTCCGTGGTGCTGGCATTATTATTATTCAATTCCGAACTGGTCTCCAAATCATTTCTGGGCGTTGTCACAATCACAAACTCCACGGCAGTGAGCCAATCTGCTTCGGTAGTGCTGCCAATTGTGGTGGTTTCCGGTTTGAGGCCCTTACTCCGCAGACGTTTCTCCTTGAGCGTATTACCATTTCCGTAGAGCGGCTTCTTGTACACTATTTTCGAGGCCTCCAAATGGATGGCCAGCAAAAGGACCAAAAGCAGCAGGGAATTCTTAAAGGCAGCTAAAAAAAAGGTAAATTGAGATAAATTTAATATACCAGAAATTCTAAAGAATAACGAAATTAATTTCAACATATTTTGTTATATTTAGATCTCAGAAATATATTTATAAATAGGAAAATATTAAACGTTTTTAAAGTCCCTAATGATTTCCTTTTCCAAATCGCACTTTTAAGCTTTTGTTACAATTAAGACCAAATGATGATTCTAAGTTGTCCAGCTATTTTTATTATATAAATTTAAATCACCAGATCTTACCCATTTTGTAATTTCCGACTCACTGAATACTTCTGCTTGTGGCACCATCCATTTTATAAGCCATTTTTCACTTGGCTTGCACTTTTCAAGATCTTCATTTTTTCGGCTTAAAGCGACCCCCAATGAAGTTCAAGTTGTGAGAACCGACAAACTGTGTCAAGGTAATAAAAGCAGAATAAAAATGATTAAGCAGAATTTTAGCTCAACAATTGCAATTCATTCAATTATAGAAAAAAAGTGGATTACTTCCGAAAGTTATAGCATTGGCGGTTTTTTAAGAAAAGAAAAGATCAGAATCTGTTACAATAAAAAAATGTATTATTATTTATTATTTATCAGTTATAAACGCCAAACATGCCTTTTTGGAAGATAAACCTTTATACAAATTATAAATAATGGGTAAAAACTAGAAGTACTTTTGATATGTAAAGTTAAGTTAAAGGTACTCTCAAAAATATTTATAATTTTTAGAGTACTAAACTATAGATGGTTTAAAAATTTAAATACACTTAATTCCTTAAATATTATCAAATCAAGGGTTTTATTTTAGTGGGAAAACTAAATCATTTTAAAATCTCAACTATATATGTAGTTGAAAATGTACCGCCACATTTAACCGTTTAAATTAAATTTGGCGCCCTTTTTGGAAGAGTATATTTTTTGTAATGGTTTAGGTCCCTGCTAATTTGGTTGGTTGATTTTTGGTTGGCGTATTTGGTATTTCGCAATACCAAGCGATTGGTATATTTTATTTGACCACGAGTTTGGTGGAATCGTTTATTTTGTTTTCCAAAAAAATAAGAAATAAAGAAACTGAATGGCTCGCAAACGAAAGATTCCAGTGCGCAAGCACCATGGCATTCGCGATCCCCTCAAGCAGCAGGAGCAGAAGGAAAAGAAGTGGGTTCAAATTAAGTAGAATAACTCGAATAACACATGTCCACACTTGCAGACTCTCCAAAGTAACCAACAATCCACCCGAGAGAAAGGACGAGCAGCAGGTGTCCTTCAAGTTCCGGCAGTTCAAGCAGCTGGCCGATGCCACCAAAACGGGCAAGCGGACAAAACTGGGCCAAATTGGCCGCGAGGATAGACCCAAATCCGCGCCAGGCAGCTCCTCCTCATCCTCCTCCGCCGCGAAGGACGCGCGGAACATCAAGCAGTTTGCCAACGAAACGGACGAGGACTACCTGCGTCGTGTGAACCGCATCACCAGTGCGTCCGTTAAGGAGGCCCAATACGAGGCCAAGTACGGCGTGAATGTGATAAGGAACCCCAAGACCGGCGAAATCACCATCCAGAAGCGGCCCAAAAACGAGATTGACGAGCTGCTCAAGCAGAAGCAAAAGGAACGCCGCCTGGCGGGCAAGGGCAACGGACGCAGGAAGCCCCAGCAGGGCGCACAAAAACCGACCATGGATGCCAGGACCAGTCGGGAGCTGGTGAAACGGGCCTACAAGGAGGCCCAGCAGGAGGTGGACATCGAGGAGCAGCAGAATGCCGGGCCCATGGAGTACAAACACGATGTGGTGGCCTTCGGCGAGATTGTCCATGCCCCGCCCTCCCTCAAAGTCCTGCCACGCAAGGCGGCCAAAAACGAGACAGTGCCACGGCCAGGACGCAAGACCAATCTCCTGCTGAAATCCATGCTGGATCCTGACAAAACCCAGGCACCACAGCCGCAGGAGGATCGCACCAAAGTGGACGCCAAATCCAAGAGCGCCTTTAAGGCGCCCACCAAGGCGCAGATGAAGGGCAAGCGAAAGGATCTGCCCCTGGCCACAAGATCTATGCTCGAATCGGAGCGCAGCAAAATGGTTCTACTGTACCGTCAGCTCAAGAACAAGACGTCGGCGGATGCCTGAAAAAAACTGACAAAACATAGACTAAATCTTAAACCCCTACTTGATTTTTTTTTTGCCCTAAACCTAATCACTAAGGTTATGTAAATGCATTTGTTACCTACTGAAATACAAGAGCAGTTGTATTGCGGCTTACAATGTTTGATAAATTGATAAGATTCATAGTAAATATATTTTTTAACAAAACACAAATTATTTGCTTTTATTTATGACATTGCATTGGTCACATATTAATGGAGATACTTTTTTTGCGGTTTCAACTAAAGGATATAGTCGTTTTACCTAGATAAAATGAATAATTAAGTGAGGAGACCGAATACAACTGCCATGTTTTGTTATATCCCAGCAAAAGAAGAAAGTATTACCTTTAAATAAATGCGTTGGAAATGTCTCTCTTTGTTGGCTGTATCCTTGAAATCCATTGATAAGTATTTAATAAAATAGAATCCGGATAAAATATACAAACAACATTTATAACAAAACTTGCCTTAAAGCTAAAAGAATATTTAAATTGTTTATTAAATAATTAAAATTCCTTTAAACAATATTTCATTGGAAATAATAATATTGAATCATTTAAATAAAATAAACCAAAATCCCGTTGAATAAATTTTGGAGTTTTTGAAATATTTAATATTAAAATTTTCACTTAAGTTGATGAAAAAAATATACAAAACAACTCTAGTTTGAATGCTAAGAGAATATTTTAAATATTTAAATAAACGAATTGGAGCGCCTCTTTCCTAAGTGTGGCCATGCTATAGCCCAAGCTACATATGGTTTTGGTATATTTAAAGTATATTTTCTGAATTTTTTCTTGGCATATAGCAACGCAGTTATTTTGGTCACATTGGTAGCGACGGAAATTTATGAAATTAAGTTAATTTAGTTAAATTAATCTCTCAACAAGAGCGCGCGTTTCGGAAGTCGGCCAAAATTTGCAGTTAAAGAACACGAACAGAAATAAGCAGACATCGACAAAACTATTGTGTCAACAAATTGTTAGCCAACTTCTTTTTTTTTTTTTTTATTGATTATATTCTTTGTGAGTACACATACACACCCACACTCACATACATAAAAACACACGGGCACGCGGATAGAGAGGAAAACAACAATTTGTGGCTGGCGCGCAAATACACACACATAACAATAACAATTGATAAATTGCTTAGACGCTAAATGAGTCAATCGCATAATAAACCAGTAAACGCGTGAAATAAATCGGTTGCAGAAGTTTAAAGCAAAGTTTACATCGCTTAAACCGCAATGTCGTGCTGCACTGGTGTGGGTGAGTAGTTCTCGTCGGTGTGCGTTTTTGTTGTTTTTGCTTATCAGCTGGTGCGAAAGAACGGTGATTAACCCGTAGTTAGTGTACTGTCTGCGAAGCAAATAACGCTGATTAAACCGTAGTCAGTCGTTGGTGATTAAAGCGACACCTTTTCGTTTTTCCCCCTTTCAGACATGTCTGATAAGGGCATTACGCTGCGCAATGGCAGAACCAAGGCGCCCCAGGAGCAGTCGCCGGATCAGGTGGCTCCGCAGTCGCCGCTGGAGCAACAGGACCTTAACCCCCAACAGGCCACCCCGCAGAAACAGCAGCAGGCCATGTCCGCCGACGAAAAGAAGGCCACCAAAAAGTCCCTGGTCATCGTTGCGGGCATCTTTGTGGCCAGTTTGGCCACCATGTGCTATGTGTACGCCATATTCCCCGAGCTCAACGCGTAAGTGGGTCTATCTGGGGTTAATCCGCCACGGATGATGTGTCCCCAGCGCATTCGTGCACCTGTAAGGTGTTAAGTGGCCACGATCTGTGTGTGTGTGTGCGGTCTCGCTTGATTTGCGAGCAGAGATGACGGCCAAAGATCCGCTAAAAGAAGCTAGAACACATCTATGCATCTGCGGTTAAGAAAAATACCTAGATCTGTTTTCCAAAGACGATTGGATACATTTTCAAAATTGTATTTCCTTTTTGTGTAGTCTTGATCATCCAAAAAAAAAAGATGTTACATTTCTAGGAAATTTAAATTCCCATTCCGTTTATTGTACTTTTTCAAACCGGAACCAGATTGTTTCTCGGAAATCATCTTAGTCACAGACTGAAATAACAGAGATGTATAAAATTCAAAACTTTTTATATATTCTCCCAATTCATTGAATTTTGATTTGCATTAAATCAGCAAGTCATCGCATAATCTCACTTTTTTGTTTGTCAAATTTTTTTAGCAAAAGCAATGGGTTGAATACGATCCCTGGGGGATTACTCTTATCTTTTTTTAAGTCCCTGGCTAGGTTCGTTTTTTTGTCATTAATTAATAGAGTTATGAAAGTTTTCTTATCTGTTTTTGTCTGTGTGTTTTTGGGCATGTCATTAACAGTTTGGCCATATAGTGGTTATAAAACAATTGCAATAGTTACTAAATGATACCTTTTACGGCAATATAAAAGCACTTATCTTTTGTATTGTGTTGGCTTCCATTCAAGGGGCGTTTTCAGGGAGTAAAGATAAGAACTATTTACAAATAGCTATAAATAGTTAAACGCTTTTAGAAAGAGTTTGTTTTAAAGTAGATAACTATTATTTAACCAACTAATTATACAAAACAACTGGCTCTTAGTTAAAACTTGTTGAGTTACTTTAAGTTTTTAAATATTTAGTAATATATTAGCCAGATTTGGCTGGAAAATGTCGGAATCTACAGTTCTATCGTGCGAGAGGGTTATTCGCGCACACACACACACCCATACACGCACAAATATCGAGTCACGCCACCAATATAATATACTTATACATATACACCATGTTTACACCTTGTCTCGCTCTTGTTCTTCCGATTTCCGCAGGTCGGAGAAACAACATTTGAAAATTCCGCGTGATATCCAAGATGCTAAGATGCTGGCCAAGGTCCTTGATCGCTACAAGGACATGTACTACTTCGAAGTGATGTTCGGCGTGGTCGTCGCCTACGTATTGTATCCTTTTTTGAGTATCAAAAATCAAGTAAACAAAATCGGTTAAGACCGATTAGATAAGCGCCCAATAGAGTTCTATTGTCCGGCGCGGTGACCTTGACCCGATTACCAAAAAAAGAAGGCCCCGCACAAAAAACTATTCACGGTCCGTCCAACGATCGTGTGTTTCCTTGCCTTAATTAATGCACGATCACCGAACGGCGGGCATTAAAGCATAGTGTGCATATTAATTACGTGGGCAGCACGCGTAAGTGCGAGCGAGGTGGCTCTAGGAAGCGGCAGAACAGCTGATATTGCCCTCCCGCTCTCACTTCTCCACGCACTTACTACTTGCACTCTCTAGAGTGGACCTTAGTATGATGTCCACAATTTTTTATCATATACGAACAAATTTAGCTGGTGAATACACAAATCTCAACAGAACTTTAGCAAGAAATATTAATGTTTTATTTTGTGGTGATGTCAAAGTTAGTTCAGATTAGAAAAATATTGGTCAACGACGCGTATGAGTTATGAATCACAAACGCTTTGAAAATGTGGACCAGTTTTGAATTTAGGCAGAAGTTTATAATTCGAGAATCAAGTTTTTAATATTTTTTTTTGTTCAGGTTCACCCTATTGCACATGAGCATGAGCTACCTCAAAAATCGACTTCGGACATTCATGTGACGCATTCTTTGTGTTTGTTGCTGTTTTCGCCTCAGAAATCAGCTGAGCTGGACACAATTTTGTTGTCGTCAGTGTTTTGATTTGTGTTTAGTGCTCTCTTTGAATTTAATTGCGTTTTCAGACCCCAGCCAAGTCAGCAAGCAAAAAAGCAAAAGCAAAAGCAGATACGTAACTTTATGGCTGTGCGCCAGTGTGTGGGTGAATGTTTTTTATTGCCCCCGTGCAATTGTTATCGGGCATTTGTAGAATACGTGGTCCGATGCCAGATGATACGATTCTGCGGGATTGTCGGGATCTTTCGTGGCGATGGGGGTGTCATTGTCAACTCTTGGCGTCTATAAATACCCGCCCACAGACGTTCGAGCACGCGTCCAACTAGTCGTACGATTTGCCTTTAATCCCAAATACAGGAGTTCCTAGAAAATGAAAACTTAGAAACATGTTAGTTTACCAGGAATAAATTTTATTAGAAAAATTCCCCATTAAATTGATTTACATTTTAAAATCTATTAAAAAAAAAAAAGATTTTGCAGGGGCTCACGTAGGTTTGGGCTGAGTTCAAATGCTGTCATTTATGGTTTGCATTTCTAAATTTTTTTTTTTGTTTCATAATGGGTAAAAACCAAAATTAAACCAATTAAAAATGTAAGCTTAAAAGTAAAAGCTTTCAATGTGTTAAGCCCCAATTATGAACCAAAATAGAAAAAATTATATATATTTTAAATCATGTCATTAAAAATGTAAGCTTTGAAATATAAGCTTTCAATTCCTTTGAATTGACGCTTAGTGGGGTGCCACTGTACAAAATAATTCAGCCATTATTCAGATCGAACCGCCTGCGACTGGTTGCCTTGACCCAATTGAAATTCATTTATAGCCTGCAAACATTCGCCATTCCCGGATCGCTGTTTCTGTCGATTCTACTCGGATTCCTGTACAAGTTCCCGATCGCCCTGTTCCTCATCTGTTTCTGTTCGGCGCTGGGCGCCACCCTATGCTACACACTTTCCAATCTGGTTGGACGTCGCCTGATCCGGCACTTCTGGCCCAAGAAGACCAGCGAGTGGTCGAAGCATGTGGAGGAGTACAGGGACAGTCTGTTCAACTATATGCTATTTCTGCGCATGACGCCGATCCTGCCCAATTGGTTCATCAACCTGGCATCGCCGGTGATCGGTGTGCCGCTGCACGTCTTCGCGTTGGGCACCTTCTGCGGCGTGGCACCGCCCTCGGTGATCGCCATCCAGGCGGGCAAGACGCTCCAAAAGATGACCAGCTCGAGCGAGGCCTTCTCCTGGACCTCGATGGGCATACTGATGGTCTGTGCCTGCGCCTCCTTGCTGCCCGGCCTCCTCAAGAACAAGTTCAAGCACAAGAAGGAGGCGTAAGCTGCTGAAGGAATGTGCCGTCCTCAGATCGATATATATATGCTATTCCCCAAACTGAAACCAAAACAACCCGAAAAATCATTAATTGTAATTCACAACACTACAAACTATACAGAAGGTAAACACACAAACTACGTTTTTTGCTTTTGTAATAAAACGCGG